GAACAGGAAGGTGGTGTGCATCTCCCCTACAGCAAAGGGAACCTTTGTGCCACAACACTATGGCACCATGAGCAGCTTTGATACTCTGATAGCAGAGCTGACACAGCTCCACCCAGTGGTGGGGAGGCAGAGGATTGTGGATGCTATGCTTGAGCTGAGGGCAAAGCATCAGGGCGTCCTCTGTGGCATGCCCCTCAGGACCATCAGGGAGATGATATCTGAACTTCTGACCAGGCCGCAGACTGCTAAGCAGTCATAATAAAGAAACCAACAGCTCTGATTTGTTATGTGACAGAACCTTTGATTGTTCATTCCATCATATTATTTTTAAGAAGAGGGAAAAGCTATTAATCAGCCTGCTATAGAGAATATAATTTTTGATCGAAGAAGAATTTATGAATCTCTCAATGTTGCTGCCTTAAAGTTAAAGGCATGTTCAGGCTGCTACTTCTGTTGTCTGGCACGTGAATTCGTTTGTGTTCTGTCATTAAAAAAAAAAAAAGAGAGAAAAAAAAGCATCCTTTGAAAAATGTCTTATCCTCTTTGCTAATACTTGGTTAAAGAAAGGCAAAACAGAGTCCTAATGTCGAGGCTCAACACTGTGCAGTCGTCTTAGTAGATGTGAAGGGCTGTAACTAAGGCACTTATTCTGAAGTAGTATCTAAACTAGCTTTAATGTCCGCTGTCACCAGAACTGAAAGACTGTCTAGAACATATATATATAAATGCAAACTTTAAATTTGATTTATTTTTAACAAATGGAAAAGGTGACTGTCCTAAAAAAAACAAACAGCTTTTTAATTCTGGAAGTTCTTTTTCTAAGATTGTCTTCTGGTGTTGACCCGTAAATTTCCACTCCAGGTCTTTTATCAGCTGATAACAGCTGCCTTGACAGCCAAGTGAACTGCAGACCTCAAGACCTAGCTAAAGTTAACAGTGAATATAAATTCTAAAACTGAATATATTACATAGTGTTACCCCCCCCCTCCCCCTCCACTATTAACAAATGGTTCCGCCCATAGCGCTGACCGCTTTCTTTTTCTTTTTTCCAGTAGCAACCGATGCTTATGATTGTGTCAGAGCACATTTTGAATCAAAACCTTGGGCATTTCACACAGGTGGTTGGTTGTTACGCTCTGGAAATGGAATGAAGGTGTCTGTTTTTAACCTTCTGGGGTACACGGACACGCAGCACCTCCAAATCACATGAGTGATTTAAGCTGACATAAGCTGCAGCTTGTGTTGAAAGTTCGGAGTT